AACGCGGAATCTTCTTCCAAGTTTCGTTAAAGCACCTACGCGTACATAACCAACAAACGTGCAAACACTTGTCTAACTTTAGAAACGCGAGCTTTAATTCTCGAGAGTTGACGATATTCTGACGAATTTCTTCTGTGCATTTTACAGATCTCGGTTTCGTTCGGTATCCATTCGTAGTCCCCATCTTCACTAAAATATTCTAACCTGGAAATGTTAAACAATACGAGAGGATATTAAAAATTAATATATAGTATGTAGTATATTAATATATAGTACATAGTATATTATAGTATAGTATAGTATAGTATAGTATAGTGTAGTATACATAGTATATTATAATATAGTATAGTATAAATAGTATATTATAGTATGGTATAGTGTAGTATACATAGTATATTATAGTATAGTATAGTATAAATAGTATATTATAGTATAGTATAGTGTAGTATACATAGTATATTATAGTATAGTATACATAGTATATTATAGTATAGTATACACAGTATATATAGTATATTATAGTATAGTATACATAGTATATTATAGTATAGTATACACAGTATGTATAGTACATTATAAATACATAGTATATTAAAAATTTGCATGCGACGTAAAAATTTTGTTTCCTACATATTGCAAGCGAAAAGTGTGCCAGATCTCTTGGACGGAAGTGTACGTTAAAAAACGTGCACGAGTACTTTCGCGAGTCACTGTACATAGACACAGAGTTTGCACATTTCGATCGTTTGAGCACCAGGAGGAAGAATCGGAAAAGCTGAAAAAGAAAATGAAAATGAAAAAGGGAATTGGAGAAAGAGAGAGAAAGAGAGATTATTGCCGTGTCGGCTGCGGCAATAGGGAAGTGTCGCTCGCGCAACGACCGTCCCGAATATATACGCGTTGAGGATATTTTCGATTCGAGCCGATTGCACAACTCTCTCAGCTCAACAAGCACGCGCGCATGCTTCTCTGCGTACAGGCGGTTATTCAACGGCGGCGTACGTATGTTGTATGTACGTGCTTCGGCTGGTCTTGCTTCTGCGTCGTAATTAACGTCTCTGTCTCTTTAGCCGTCGGCTTCTAAATTATCGTTCGTACCGGCTAGAAAATTACGGCTCGTTTGGATAACCTTGAATCGAAAGGCCTACGCGATACGCGAAGGCGCGAAGTTGCCGTGCAAATACACGTATGTACCGATAAACAGCGAATGTGCAGCGAATTTACAATTCCTCCAGGTGGAAAAATAGATTGCCAGTTCGATAAGAGCGGATGGTAACTATCGAAAGAAGCGCTTGGATGTACGTATGGTTGGCCAACTCGCGATGAGCGACGCTCGAACGCGCGTTAATCTCGAAACAAGCCGGAAAGAATTGGGCAACGCGGTGGATTTTTATCTTATTTGTTGTCTAGCAATAAGTATGTCGTAGTCAGCGACAAAGTCAAATTGGTTGCCTATTATTACCTCGTTTCGTCAAGCACCTGCGTTTCTTACCAACGTAGCACGTTTCGAGCTCCTCGTTCTTCGTCTTCGTCTTCCTTCTCGTCTTTTATTCGGGCGCGTTGCAACTGCGAAAGAATTACGTAACAGCGTACACTTGACGGAGCAAGATATTCGATTGTGAAGAGGACGGGAACGAGCGTCGAGAGTAGACGATGGATTTTCCTTTTGAGCGCTTTTCCTTGAGCTCAGCTCTCGGATCGAAGGGCGAGAGGTACCGATTTTTCCGTCTTCACGACTTAAATCGGCCGAGACATTCATTCGCGTCTCTCATTTACGCAAATTCAAATTACATTCAATGGATGGGAATTTTTGAAGTGTATGAAAACATCGATCGTTTCGAGAGAAAAACCTTCTGATTTTCCAATTTCGTTGATATCAAGGGCCAATTGATAGTGTATAAAATGTTGCGATAAAGTATTACATATGAAGAGCGAAAAGGAAAGAAAAATATTAAAAAAAATAACAAGTTGATAAAGAATGGGAGGAATATATAATATAAGGGACGGATAAAGTTAGAGAAGACATTAATATATATGAAGTTAACTCTAACGTGTAAGTAAATTAAAAATTATTTCTATAAAAATAGTGGAAGATTTTTCTTTTCCTATTTTACATATTATCGTTACACGTACTATGATCAATACTTTTAAGTAGAATTACCCTTTATCTGGTTGTACTACTAGATACTATATTATATACTATGTATATTATTTATTACTATATTGCTATATTATATACTTATATATTATTATTGTATAAAATTATACATACTTAGGGATGTGCGAGAACCCGAAAATATCGGGTACCCGATGGTCGGGACGAGTCGGGTTCCCGAAAATTTCGAGATTCCCGAAAGAATCGGATTTCCCGAAAAAGTCGAGATTCCCAAAAATTTCGAGAACCCGGCTACCATTTCTCGAACTACTCTACAATGCTGTATAGCAGTCTACGAAATATGTAAATACACAGTTCAATTTCTTCTGCCAGTGAAATGATTGGAAACACGGTTTCTAAGAACCGTGTGACCTGATGTAAACGAACGTGTGACTGCGTGCTTAGTCCTTGGATATTATGTACGCTGCTGAACAGTATCGCGGGGAAACTCGAGGAGGTCAGACGTATATTTCAAAATCTGTGTGAATTTAATGAAGATTGAAAATCTTTAAAAACAATGTCGAGTGATAGCGAGAGTAAAGTTGTGGTAGCAGGAAGTAGTGCAGAAGATATCGTGCAAAGGAAGAAGGTAAAGTAAAGCTCTGTTTGGGAACATTTTTAAGAAAAAGATGATACAAAGGCGGAATGCACTCATTGTCGCCGTGAATTTAAAACTAAGTTTGCAAATACCACTGGTTTATTACGCCATTTGAAGCACATGCACCCAAACATAAGTATATACGTACTAGAAAAGAAACTGAATCGATATAAAATTTCTCACATGTACAAAATGATACGCGAAAGATTATTGAACCAAAAGATATAACAAAAGGAATTTCTCGAATGATGGTTCTAGATTCTGCGACCTTTCGATATAGTTGAAGACGTGGGCTTCAACGAATTATTTAAGCATGTTCCCAACTCTTTCGGGAATCCCGATTCTTTCGAGTTTACGATATTTCGGGTTCTCGCACACCTCTAATACTTGTATATATATATAATATATAATAGAAATAACATATCGTAATACTATTATTTCTATATTATTTCTATGTATAATATAGTAATACTATATTATATTATATAATATACATTATATATTATTATTATTTCTATATTATTATTATTATTATTATTTCTATATTATTTCTATATTATTATTATTATTTCTATATTATTTCTATATTATTTCTATATTGTTATTATTATTTCTATATTATTTCTATATTATTTCTATATTATTATTATTATTATTTCTTTACTATATTACATGTAAGTGTGTATAATTTTATACAATATACAAATATAGCTAGCCATATTGCGCACATATTTTATATAAGTTGTACATATCTAAATCCAAGTATACATCAAATTTTACAAGTAATTAATACATATTACATACTTTTCATCGCTATATGATATGTCATGTTGTAGCAGTACAATCGTATAGCAGGTGATTCTGCATATACTTACACATATTACTATTTTTACGTTTTAAAAGTTATTTTATTGCCACGTTAAATGTACCAAAGTGTTAACAAAAATTCCTCGTGGATGAAGACAAGAACATGGTAGTTCACTTTGCCGGTTCAAACTATGCGCGTTTCGATGCTATCTCCGAGAGAGAAGCCTGGAAAGCCGCAGAACCTTGTCTGAGAGAGAGAGAGAGAGAGAGAGGGGGGGGATGAACACCATGAGGTGTTCGTGTTGCCGTGGCGCGATTCTCGGCGTTTCCTCGTTCGGTTTGTTTCGGTTTGCGGTTAACGGCTGGCAGTGTCGCGTTCTCTGTAAGCCCAGGTAACAAGGTGGACTTTTTCGAAACGGCGAAACCGCGCCGTTTGATCCACGTGTCCAGCAACCAGGTGGGGGCAGTTTGGCTTTCGTGCCGCTACTTACGACACTGTGCAACGCGATCTCGGAGAACCGCACGCGAGCGGTTCGTTTTCTTTTTTCCTTCACCTCCAACGTCCACGGGATATAATATCCTCCGGCTCGTAACTTCACGCGCTCGTCTAGCGTTACCGCGCGTGGATGTACCCGCTCACACGCCTAACATCGCACCCGATCGACCAACCGTGCTTCTCTACAGGTCGGACAAGTCGACCGGTTTCCTACCGATAAGACAAATATCAGACAGACTTCCCTTCCCCGCGACGAACATCGTTATTATTATCGTTAGGATAGATTGATTCAATTAGTCGAAGTTCATTTAGCCGGGGGTTAAATCGACGAACTTCGTGTTCTATTAATCTCAAGAAGAGATTACATAAGTAAGTAGGTGGATTCTATGGTACGTTTGAAAAACGATCTTTGCTATCGTTACTCTCTGGTGTTCTTAATTTGCTTGTTTAGTTACGTCTGACGATGACTGGTTTAATTCCGCTGCGTCTGTTGATCGTTCTCCTTCCTGTCGGTTTGAAGTCTTTGCCAATATTCAGATGATTTTCAATGAAGAAACGCGTAGAAGTATGTATGTTTATTTGTTGAGAACGTTGATCGTATATTTGCGCAATTGAAAAATTGTTAAAAAACGGAGTAAAATAATGTTCATGTTATCGTGTGTTTTTCTTGTGTACGTCGTTTTTCTATCGTGTATGCCAAGTTATAAATTTTATTATCACAATTTATATTTTGTCAGCTACGAACGAACGTATGAAATTTCACTTACGCGTCTGATTGAACGAACCTCTGCCAATTGAACTACTTCTAATGGTAGTAGCGAGTAAACAATTAATCTCTACCATCATAGTGTTTGTCTCGTATAAATGATTATATTACAAAATGCCCCGCTAATACTAACACTTACAATTTTTAATCTAAATCGACATTTTTCTCTCTGTTTCAGGATACATAAGTTGCAATGCCAGCACGCTGCAATCGCTCGCGCAACTACACGGTGAGTGAAAACTGCCAGTTGGTTTCCTTTTTCTCTCCTCCCCGTCTCTTCTGTTTCTTCTCTTCTTTCCCTCTGTTCTCGCCGTTTCTCGAACGTTTCGTTGATACCCGGCGGTGGCGGTCGCGGTACGCTACGCCGCAGGAAGATTCTCTCGAGAAAGAGAGGCCCAGAGCCCAGGCCAGTGGGTACGCTCAATTAAAATTTACGCTTGCGCAACGCCTTTGCAACAGGCTTGTATACACTTTTCTGACGGCAATCAAGGAAACGCAGCCCTCCTCCGCAGCGACGCACGTTTCCTCTTTCTTCGTTGCAATTGCTGGAAAAGGACTGGCTGCAAGCCTGTACTTACTCTTCCTCCTCGTCCAGGAATATCCGTTTCTTCTTCTTGATTTTCCCCCTCCTGGTCGTTTGTCCCTTAATTCTCGGACAGTGGACAGTTCAGTTTTACGTTTACAGGCACAACGGTCGATTCAGTTGTTTCAGCATGTTTCTGTTGGTAAATTTTCGCGTCGGTTACTTCTCTTCTTTATTAAAATTAATTATTAATTAAAGGGGAAAACGTCTTTGCGAATGATACAGTAGAATGTTGCTGGTTCGAATCTTGTGTCTTATTAATGTTTCGCAGAGAGACCTCCTTTGCAAATTAAAAATTTAATATTACTTTCTTCGTTAAATCTCGTATTCAACAATATTGCTGAACAATTTTCATGAATCGCAGAATTCGACGATTCCTTTAGATTTCTATTTATGTTATATATGAATATAAATATATTTATAAAATATTGTAATATAAATATAAAAATATAATATAATAGAAATCTATATATTTATATTTATAGATATAAATAAATAAATAAATATATATATATAGATATAAATATAAATATAAATATATATAAATATATAAATATAAATATATAGATTTCTATTATATTATATTTTTATATTTATATTACAATATTTTATAAATATATTTATATATAATATAAATATTTTATATTTATATTTATATTGTATTTTTATATTTATATCACAATGAATTGCTATTTGTCAAACATCACGTTGATTAAAAATTTAATTATTGCGCTGTATATCATCTATAAACATTACAGAGCATATTTTTATAATATTTGATAATATTTTAACTCGAATAGTTGCCTGAAAGTCTGTGACTCATTGTATATATATTGAAGCTTGTAAGAAATCCTATCTAAACCAAGGAAGCGAGTCGTGCTCTGATTCACGCGTCATCGAAAAGTTTCCTACTGTACAGTGTCCTGCGTCCTTTCATCGATTTAGTCAGTGAACGAGCATGAACTAAAATTACGCGAATGTACGGTCGCGTAACAGACATGCATCGAGTCCTCCGCTGATGGAACGATTCCTCTCGAAGCGTGAAGTATCGGATCATCTCTGTTTGCCATCGGGAGTTTTGAAAAATCTAACGCAAACAGTTTCCTCTCTTTATTTTCACCTGATGTGTGAAAATCAACGTGTGCGAATGACCTAGTATGCCCGACCATTTTGTGAAACAGTCTAGGCGTGTGTCAATAAAAATGAAACGCTCGGTCGGCACGAAAGAGTTAAAAAAGAAACGTGAAAGAAGCGTCTGTTAGAGCGTCACGTTATCGTATCAGTTAACGGATGTTTCCCCGTGAGACGGGAAGATCTGATCTTTACGGGGGAAAACCGATAAATATGCACCGGAGGCTCGGAAGGTCAAGGCAGCCACGTTGCATATTCAATGGATACGGATACTGCATGAGCCGTGGCTATCGAAACATTATATAAAAGTAAATAGATTAATCAGCCCGATAGCCGAGTGCCCACGCGTTTACAGAATCACCTAACCTTCCCCGTAACTTACCAGGAATTTTCCATATTTTTTCCATAGGTTTCCTTTCGGAAATAAATATATTAAATTTAACAGATCAGCTTCTTGTCATTTATTCACAAAAATATAGAATACCTCGTGGGACTCTCTGAAAGAAGATAGTAATTTTGAGTAATCTTCTCGTCTATCTCAGAATTTCGTTTACTTATCGCAGGGAACGATTGTCGACTATAATTAAATTCAGATCTGTTTAAAATTGACAACTGTTACTACAAATAAGTTGCTTGGTATTTCTTTTTAACGACGTATCGTTGAAATGGTAAATGTACGAACCAGAATTATCTTATCTAGTTAATTAACTAGAAATTATAATTACATTGTATATATATATCGATTAATAATTTTCAAATTACCGACACCTAGCGACAACTTTCATCCTGCTCAAGGCCATGGATATTTCATACAAACGTCCAGCCGCGAGAAAACGATTTTAAACGAGGCTCGATTGCTCGGTACTTTTTTTTTTTTTCTAGTCTCTTTGCTTGCATAATGAAGCGGAACGATGTTGGCCGGTTATTACCTGAGAAGTCTACCGTGTACAAAACCGGGGAAAAAATTCATTTCCCGTGTACGCTCTCGACCTTTACATATTATTATACAACCCGTCTGATTTATCGCTAGAAAACATCCTGCTTCGCGGAGACACATTTCACCGGGATATTTCCTGCCGCCTCCCAAGATTCTTCCTCGCGTTTCTCTCCGTTTTCTTTCTGTCCGCGATAGAACAGATGTAGAAACGAGAGTGACATAGAGCCTCAGCACGTTGATTGGACCGGTTGCAGAGCGTGTTTGATACCTGATATTTTCATCAGCGAAACGCTAGACGACATGATAAAACGCCATCGAAGCCAAGGCGTAAGATTTTCCTTGTCCCACATTCCTGGCATCCTTGGCAAAGTTTCGCGTCGTTCACTGTTCTTCGTTTGCAGGATAAACCTGCTTGCTCGACAACTATAGGTTGCTCTCTGCACGGTTTCTTCAACCAAGCTGCCATGTTTCGTTCGTAACATTTGAAAAACGCGCCAGAAACTTGTTGAAGCGTACATAAGAAGAAGGGACAGCATTTGAGTCTCGACTGATCTTTTTTTTAGATTAACCTAACTACAGAAAATTTGAAAAGCGCGCGCGAAAAGTTGACGCACGAGAAAAGAGGGGGGGAGATACAGTCACATTTTTTTGATCCTTCAATCTCTAGAACTAACGTATGATGTATTTTGAACTGTTTATGGATCTACGATACTTGTCACAGTATTTTAATTTGAAGACCAACAACAAGTAGTTTTTTTTTTTTTTCAACAAACGATTATCATAGGGAAGTTTATCGCGGAGCGACGCAATTAGAGGTAATTACCAGGGTGTTTGCGTCGCGCGAATCGCGCGAGCTACTTTTACGTGGAACAGAGCCGCGATACTCTGTGCAACGCGATCATGCGCCATTGCAACGGACGCACGTGCGTCGTCCTCCACTTCTACAGATTGTTCTCCCTCGCCTTCCGATTGCTCCTTCGTGCTTCTCGATCGAATCGGTCCTCATTGTTTCGCTAATAGGTACACCTTTCAATAGCCATAATATTGGCATTGTCTGTCATTTCAATATTGCCTATTGTACGAGTGATTAATTTTTAATTAAATTAGTTATCATTAGAATAGGGATTTCCGTGTAGTTTTATATCTTTGTGATCGTAATTGAGAAAATGGAACTTACTGGAGGTAGGAATTTTACGATAAACATTCGAAACGTTTAGATATTTTCAGTAGTAGGGGAAATGTATGATTAGCAACGTTACTACATTTTTTAAAAGTAAATTTTATCAGGCAATGACCAGCAGATATTTGTTAATTTATTAAAATTAAATATTGTAGTACGTATATTTCAAAATACATGAAATTCGCGTGGCGATCTTCTTTCGTTTCCCCCCTTTTGTTTTTTTTTTTTTTTTTTACTAAGGAATAAATCAAAATGGATCACTTTGGTTTAGCTTTCGATTGGAGTTTAAACGTGTCGCGAAATACAGTGCATACAACGAAAAGGTGGAGAAAAGAAAGAAAGGAGAGAGAGAGAGAGAGAGAGAGAGAGAGAGAGAGAGAGAGAGATCGGGGAGACCTGTTTTCAAGACCTGACTTAACGCGTTATAAGACGCGTCTCATATCAAGAACACTTTCGCGTTCGATGCCGAGAAATAATGCGTGATCGTGAACGAAAGCAAACGTTAAATGTACATCACGATAAAACAAAATTTATTCTCACAATGAAAAATTTCAATTTATGTCGTTGCAGCTCGTGAAAAATCGGGGAACAATCGCTCTTTATAACATCATACGCTATTTTGCGTACATTAAACTCGTTAAAGACAAAGTTAAATATCAATCAAAAACTTGGTTAAATATCAATTTAACAGATTGGAGATTTTTATGTATTTATGAAAGATTTGGAAAAATATAGAAAAATATATAGAGGTTTCGTTTTTTTCTAACTCTCGCGTGGATTTTCAATCGAGTGAAAGTAGTTTAATGATTAATTCATTATTAAATAGAACTAAATTTCCCTTTGTAGCCGTAGAAACATGATGAAATAACAAATGACTATGTCAGAAATTATATAACCATAAAAATTGACTCGACATATTAACGCACAATTAACGTGATCCATTTAAAGGGTAATTATCATCGCAGAGTTAGTTAAATTGCACGGACGCCTAATTTTAAATCGAGTTACACGCGGAACGTAGTCACTTAGAACGGTAGTTCGATGAAGATGTTACAACTGCGTATCCCGACATTTTTAGCTCTCCTCTTTGTTGCGAGTCGAATTCTTCGCCGCAGCCTCCTGGAAATCTGTCGAAACGTTGTGCAGTCTCGCTTGCACAAGACTTCGGAAAGGTCAAGAGTGCAAGCAGGCGTTCCATGCGTTCCCTTTCTTTGTATACACGGTGTAATTCGCAATATCGCGGCGTATTTTATCGCTATTTCAAATTTAAATCCGTGACGTCGTTAACGTCGTTGTAAGAACCTTCGTTTCCCCTGTCCTGCGTGCTTTGACGCGTGTTAAATGATCAGTCGAAAATCTCTCGCAATCGTCGTGTGTCTTTTAACGTATCGAGATGAT